ATAATGGACTCACACAAAGGGGTGGTCAAGACGGATCAGTATGAGGAGCTGCCTCAAGTGACTCATCAAGTAGCCTCAGTCACCAAACATGAAGGAGCTCAGCAAGATGATTGGAGTGAGCTAAAGGCACCCAAAGTGGAGCTTAAACCACTTCCCCAAGGATTAAGGTACGCATTTCTTGGAACCAATGAGACCTATCATGTCATTGTGAGTACTGAACTGAAAGAAAATGAGCTATCTGAACTTTTAATAACACTTAAAAGATTTAGAAAAGCAATAGGATACTCACTTGATGATATTAAGGGAATATCACCTTCTTTATGCATGCATAGAATACATCTAGAAGATGAATCAATGACCTCTATAGAGCATCATAGAAGGTTAAATCCTAACCTGAAGGATGTTGTAAAGAAAGAGATTCTTAAACTTCTCGATGCTGGTGTGATTTACCTTATCTCAGATTCTAAATGGATATGTCCTTTGCATGTAGTTCCAAAGAAAGGTGGTATTACTGTGGTTAAAAATGACAAAGATGAACTGATACCAACAAGAACTATCACATGGCATATAATGTGTATTGACTACATGAAATTGAACTCTGCATCTAGAAAGGATCATTTTCCATTACCATTCATTGATCAGATGCTTGAGAGACTCGCAAATCACCCTTTCTATTGCTTTCTTGATGGATATTCACGATTCTTCCAGATACCCATACATCCCAATGATCAAGAGAAAACGACATTCACATGCCCTTATGGTACCTTTGCTTATCGAAGGATGCCATTTGGGCTATGTAATGCTCCAGCCACCTTCCAAAGGTGCATGATGTCGATTTTATCTGATTTAATTGAGGATGTTGTGGAGGTGTTTATGGACGACTTCTCTGTCTATGGGTCCTCGTTTTCTGCTTGTTTGTCAAATTTGTGCAGGGTCCTATAGAGATGTGAAGACACCAATCTGGTGCTAAACTGGGAGAAGTGTTACTTCATGGTTAAAGAAGGGATTGTGCTTGGACATAAGATTTCAGAGAAAGAGATTGAGGTAGACAAGGCTAAGATTGATGTGATGGTGAGTTTGGCTCCTCCAAAGACAGTCAAAGACATCAGGAGTTTCCTTGGTCATGCTGGGTTCTATAGAAGATTCATCAAGGCTTTCTCTCAGATTGCTAGACCATTAACCAAGCTACTGTGCAAAGAAGCTGCCTTTACCTTTGATGCAGAATGCCTTGAAGCC